GTAATGTAATTTAATTTTCTGAAAATTCTCTGATCAGACTTTGTAAAATTCAAGACAACCTTACCAGAAAATTACACTGTACAGTGCCCATTTACTGTGGATGAGATGAGCTTAATTTGTAGGGAGAAAGCATGCACTGGTGTTTCAAAATTTGAAGAAACAGATGTTTGATGTCCAGTAGTTCCGAGTTCATTATCTTGGATTTCTTTTTAAAAACCTTATCAGTAATTTTCTGGTTACTGTAACCTGCTATGCTTCATAATAAAAGTGAAATAATGAACCACAGAAGTACCCTAAACCCAGCTCCTGAATAATGAAGTACCAAATGCAGGCAGGAAAGAACAACATTTAATGGACTCTCTTAGGCCTATAAATTCAAACCAAGTATACACAGAAGCATGGACAACCTGCACATTTGAAATAGTCTATTTGTTTTTAGTTGTATTCCTACACTTACAGGGCCCTAAAGGTCAAACTTTAGTAATATTTGGTTTTGAAGTTTCTTCAAATTAGCTCCTAAATAAAACAATATGTTTTCTTCATTTCTCAGAAATCTGCTCTCTTTTTATTTAATCACTCCATCTGAATGTTTAGGCCTAAGAATTGTTTGGTATTAGTCTTTAGAAGATTAAGAGCAGGGGTAGGCAACCTTTCCCTTTTAAGGGCCGAGGGACTTCAGCTCCCAGAAGCCTCAGCCATGTTGGCCAATAGTCCCATGTTGGCCAATAGCTCCTGAGATTCTGGGAGCTGAAGTCCCTCGGCCCTTAAAGGGGAAAGGTTGCCTACCCCTGATTAAGAGTTTCTTGGATTGTATTGTTAAAGTCTAGTAGCAATAGAAAAAGAAATAGGCGCACATTACTTACATTTCTATAGCACTGATAAAAATAGGAAATCAACTGAGAGAAATCAGTAATAGACTCCTTGATGCCAATAATTCATTATGGGTGGCATCCTATTAGTGACATACACACATGTTAAGTATGGCTTGTATGTGCATATATCTCTTTTTGGATGGGTCACAGTGAGCTATTCTCTAGCCCCTTGTGCTCCATCTGAAATCTTTCCCCAGGAGCTGCCAGCCTCTGAGAAAGGTTCTTGCTATTGCTTATGTGTGAGGAGGAAATAGAAGGAGAAGGCAATGAAAACCTAGGTCCTTGTGTGCTAAGGGAAAGAAAAAGGAGGGTGGATGCTATCTGTGAGTGCACCCTCATTTCATGCACCCTCCAAGCAGAGACCATATGCTTTTTCATCATATGAATTACTTTCCTTTAGTCTTCCTTGCCCATCAGTAATAAACAACAACAAAAGTCCTTCTCAGAGCTTGGCAGATGCCAATACGTAGGATCTTGCTCTGTGTGTGCAAAGAGTGTATTGTCTGGCTCAACTCACCCATGGCCTCAGGTTTTTAATTAATATAATATCTCAAATTTAATAAATAAATAAAGACATTCTCAGGGGAATGTGACTCTACTGCCTTGACCTCACACTGGCATCTGATACCACTCTCTATGACATCTTACTGGGTCAATTGTAGGGTAGGGGAATGGGACACCAAAATACAATGGCTATGCAGGACCATTTCCAAAAGAAGGCATTTGGGGATTTCTGTTCAACCTGACACCATTTGTTTTATAGAATGACACATGGCTGCATTCTTTCCTACATACTATTTTAAATGACCTTCTTGAACACTGCTTTATTGTTTTATTAACTGCTTTCACTCTATTATATTGGCTTTTGTTATTGTAAGTCAATTTGGGATTTTTATTATGAAAATGAAAAAGTATATTAAAATATTTTGAAATAAGTGAGTAAGAAATGAAATCTATTACATTTTCCTAGGTTAGGTTATTTGAAGCTATGGGGTGCTACGCCATCAGTACACTGAACACATTCACCCCTGCTTCTCTTTGGACAATAAACTAGTGCTGGAGTTGGTAATCATGTGTGTAAGATCCAATACATGAAATCTGAATTCTGGCACAATAGTGACAGCGTGGATAGATTGTCCTTAGACCTGGACAAATTACATTCAGGCAGTTTTGGATGGCATTGCACACTTCTGAAAGAAAAGATTTGGAGCTTGCTGATCCAACTTTACAATTGGATTCAACTTCATCACTCATAGTCCAGGTGGCCTGATGTGCCTACTGTGTTATACATGGGACAGCCACTGACATGCCAGTTAATGGAGAATGTAGCTGCCAGAATGTTAATTATTACTGCTACATTGGTTCACATTCAGTTCTTACAAAGAAAGACACTTTTGCTTATTTGCTTCTGGGCTCATTCAAGATCCTAACTCATCTTTGAAATCATTTATGTACTAGCATGCCTGTATCTTCCTCCAAGTGCCATTTAA